CCCAGTAGACTACCAGCAAATATATGTACAACATCTTATATTAGACTATTAGTGTTTTGATGAAATTTAAAAAGAAAGTTGAAGAAAATTTTGACCTGCCTTAATTAGATTTGAAGATGATTTAAAGAAATTGACATCTCAATCAATAATTTAAACAAGAAATATTTGTACAACATCTTATATAGATTCTTTAAAATAAAAAGAACCAAACATGTAATTCCTTAATCTAGCAACTAGAATCAAGGGACCATTTATTCAAAGACAAAGTATTCATTTCTTCATTCATGAAACTGTCTGTGGCTGGACGTAAAATGATTAATTGGGAAGTTGAGATTGAAAATGAGTAATTAGGAAAAGTCCCACCTATAAGATGGATTGGTTTTACCGCCACAAACATACAAGCCGTAAATTTGAAGGAATAGTTTCAACGATAAATAGTCTTCATTAGCAGAAAATTGCAAAGGGTCATTGATGTGTTGCTGGTGTCACAAATCAAAACCAAATAAAAAGAAACCAAGCAAAAGTTGGGTAGTACATGGAGGTTGCACTTTTCCAGGTACTCATAATGTGTGTGTTTTTTAGGACTATGTGTTAGACTGTTCCTTTCCAGCTAAGGAAGTGGGATATGCGAACGAGATGCCTTCTCTAGATCTAACGTCTCCAACTGTTTAGATATTAATCTTGTAACAAAAGTGTTGCAACTTTTGCTAACTTATTATACACATCTAAGTTCTAACTAAAGCTTCTTGGCTGCTTAAATATAGTTAACATGATTCTAAAGACATAATTTGAAGAAATTCACTTTTAAAGCAGAATATGGCACATCATAACAAGTAAACCAGACATTCATTATATTTAGATAAAAAAGAAGGTTAATATGTGCACCTGTGACCAAAACATAACACCGGCCAAAAATGCAAGGGTGTGCACTATTTCATTCTTTGCGTTGAGACCCATGTACACAAGGAAGTCTCCTGATGTCTGGAGTAAAGAGGAAAAATTAGATACAGAGAATAGTGTTGCAGCACAACCAATCCATAATCTAACAACAAACCACTCACCTTCCACAACCAAGGCAATACCCCCAAAAAACAAAATTGCAGAGTCCATCAGTATAGTTACGAACTCATGAACAAAATGGAAGTGGCTGAAAGTTAAGAAAGGCAAATCAGAGCACAACCAAAATAGCTATATTAGTGAGTAGCACAGGTAAAAAAATATAAATGAGGAAACTTGTGACCAGATAAAAAACAACAAAACCTTTTATCAAGACTACAGGCTCGAGATTTTTCAAACTTTTCTTGGCTAATAAGTCCTTCCAAAGTCTTACAATGACACAACCACAAACAATTCTTACTAATAAAACACAACCACAAACTTTGAAGAAAAATCAGAAAGCATGAGTAAGAATGTTCAGACTCTTACAATGACATTTAAGTAAGAATCCAGCTTGTGTAGATTTTCATAAATTAAGTTGATAGCATCTCTAACAGGGAAAGCTAGAGGAAAACAAAGTAGGTCTTTAGTGAGAGAAGTGACCTGACACACTGTATGAAAATGGCCAATTGACGCCTCCAATTTTGAAAATAAACCATTAATAGTGACCAATAATAAGGGCAATGACTTCTCAGAATGCTTTACTAATTCCTCACCGAATTTGTCAACCTCTATATAAATCTGTATCAACCAACAAGAAATTAGTCCAGAAGAAACTTTTGTATCTCAAAAACAGAATCATAGTCAAATAGAACAAAAGGCTTTGATCAAAATATACAGATCTATATATGTTAAATCACTAAATATCAATTAAAACAATAACAAATCAAATGCGAGAAGTAAAATAATTGAATGAAATTTATGAGACAGAGATAAGAATTTGTACTGGATTAGATTACAAAGTTGACGCTATTAACTTCCTCTAGTTCGGAACAATTTTGAGGACCAATTCGGTTCCGATCAAATCACCTACATGTTTTGTAGATTCAGCCCCATGAATAGATTATTCGAATCACAAGAAGAAAGAATTTCATAGATTCCATATATATTTTAAGTGGATTCCACTCTCACCCTATGTGAGAGATTAAGGTCTGGTTCTATGATTAAATACGTTATCTCCAAAATTGAACTATAGGATCAATGCCTTCCAACAGAGAAAGAAAACTACTCTTAAAACCATCTTTTCAATTAAACAAGGCGTCCATCTAGACATAACTACAAAAATTATTTGATGCACAATTGAAACATAATTCATTAAACAATTATGTTAGTCTATAAGGATAATAAGATCAAAACACAAAGGACTAACCTTCTCAGATCAAGCAACCTTGGGTGGCCATATGACCCATTCCATTGATTCTTGCTTCAAGCTCTGCTGCAAACAAACAAACAATAATTAGGTGCATGTGTTTCTCAGTATATTTTGTCACAATGGATGAGTGTCTTCACAAGTTCATCTTGTTTGCAGATGAACAAATGGTAATGATAATGAAAAGCACAAGGGCAAGGTCAAAAAAAGTGTATTCATGTTTTGGCTCATAACTGCATACACAATAGCTAATGGTTAAAGAAATACTATTTAGTCAAATAAAAAAATGAAAAGTATTAAACAAATTCATTGACTTATGCCTTCTTCTAAGCAACCAACTAAGTATTTTGAAAAGCACCCAAAACACGAGAAAAATATTACCAGGTCAATACTGAGACATTCTCAAGAATTCAATGAAGTCACTTCTTGCTGTGATTTCTACTAGATGTAAGAATTCACTCAACTGTTATACTTTCTAAAATCAACCCACCTTGGATTTTGTATAGATTTTGCAACTCTCAAACTCACAAATTCACAATGCTGGCCTGATTGAAAACAATCAACTTCTGTTTTTTCTTATATGGGTTTTGCATCTCCCTACCTCACAAATCTTGAAATCTTCTTGACTATATAAGATTTTAATTACAACCCATCTCTAATTTTTATGTGGTTTTGTTCCCTTAATCTCACACTTGTTAATTTCTTACCCTAAACCACAAATTTTCACTTCCTGAATCTTCTAATGACAAAATACTCAAAATCTTTATTGGTAGAATTTCACCAACACCAAATATGTTTTTTGATTTTTCACTCAGATTTGCTGACCCACCAATCTCAAATTTTCAGTTTTCTTGTTGTAAACTCAAAGTCAGGAAAGGTTGAATATATAGTCTTTGGGCACATTGAACACAAATAATGCAATAAAAAAAATTCAAAAAGTAGTCTTTAACTTTGTAATCTCCGCCTGAGTTTGTTCATCTACCCAACAAGAAGTTCAAAGAAACATACAAAGCAAATTCAAAGTACCAACCTTTACTTGTCAAGTTCGTATGAGACAAAACTCAATAAAACCCACTAAAGATGTTGATTTTTAGAGCCGGCATTGATGGTTGGAAAGTATCATATGAAAGCTAGTGAGAGAGAATAATGAGAAATGCATGCAGGTGAGAAATAGAGTGAAACAAAAATCTGGTGAACGGAAATCATAGAAAGAGTTCACATATGAAATTGATGAGTGTTTGTTAGTGTTAAATTGGGAATTCTAGAAAAACAGAGAGATTGATGGATAATGGATTACAGATGAAATTGAGTTGGGTACCAAAGCATTTAACTCAAATTCCAATGCTAATACCTATATCTACATTCACATATACAAAAAATGAGTACGGTGAGAATCGATTGAATTACCCGTAGCTCTCTAGGGTTTGGTCATCCTTCAAGATCTGCCATCGTCGGCACTAAGGTGGTGGTTCTGCGACAGAAGGAGGTGCTGCGCGACGGGCAACGGCGAATCGGTGATGGCAAATCCAACACTGATGGTGATTGTTGTTGTTGGGGATGGGAGTTTCAAAGCTAGGGCTTCTAATACAATGGAGAGAAAGATAATAAAACCCTAGCTATTGCTAAGTGAGTGGTGAGAGGGGGAGAGGGGAAGACGGGGGAAGAGTGGGTTTGATTTGTTTGTGTTTCCACTGTGATACTATATATATATATATATAAATATATAAATATAATCACATTTAATTAAAAAATAAATATAATCACACTTCATTAAAAACATATATATAATCACACTTAGAATGTGTGATTAAAAAATATATATAATAATAACATATAATTAAAAAGTGACATAAAAAATAAATATTATCACACTTAATGATTAAAATATTAATTTAATTTTTTTTATCACATTTCTAATAAAAGTGAGATATTTTCATTTATCAAAGTGTGATATTTAACTACTTTGGTAGCAATGTTGTGAAACTCGGACCGGGCCGGCCTGTCGAACCGGTTGGACTAGGAACCGGGCCTTGTTCCGGTCCGGTCAACCCCCTAGAACCGGAGTAGGAGTAAAACCGGCCTAGAAATGGAAAACCGGGAGACCCGACGGTCGAACCGAGAAAACCGGTGACACGGACCGGGTCTGGTGGGTTGGACCGGTGATTTTTCTTTTTTTTTTTTATTTTCTTTCTGTCTTTTCTTTCTTTCTTATATATATATATATATATATA